GTAGTGGCAACCCAGATATAAAGTGGAGGAAGACTGGCACAGATGTTAGCTCAGGGCTAATCTTCCTCAGCAAAAAATAAAAAAGTTCTGACTGGCAATTTGGTAGCATAGATCAAAAGATTAAAGACATATACCCTTGATCCCACAATTCCACTTGTAGGAATACATCCTAGGGGCCGGTCCAGTGGCATAGTTTGCATAGGTTAAGTTTGCACGCTCCACTTCGGTGGTCTGGGGTTCACTGGTTTGGATCCTGTGGGTGGACCTACACACCACTCATCAAGCCATGCTTTGGCAGCATCCCACATAGAAGAACTAGAAGGACTTACAACTAGGATACACAACTATGCACTGGTGCTTTGGGGCGGGGGGGACGAGGAAGATTGGCAACAGATGTCAGCTCAGGGCCAATCTTGCTCACCAAAAAAAAAAAAAAAAAGGAATGTACTCTAGTCTTCGGTAAATTCTACAGCATGGTTTACTACAGTGATTTTTCAACCCTAAGAGTAGGTGACAATACTATTCCTGGGCCTCTCCTCCAAGACAGCCTGACCTGCTTGGTCTGTGATAGGGCCTGGGTGTCTATAATCTGCAGCCAAGATTGAGAACTCTTGGCTTATAATAAAGAAAACTGGAAACAACCTCAATACTCAGCAGAGAGGACTGGTGAATCCATCACAATAGGGCCACGTGATGGAATCCTAGACAGTCTTAAAATAATGTGGCAGAAAAAAGATATTTCATTAAGCATATTCATTGACATGGACAGGTATTTACAATGTGCTATTAAGTAAAAAAACAGGTTATAAAAGTGTGTATGTGATATGATCCACATTTGAAAAAAAGCATATATAAAATAATCACCAATATTCTGGAACCAAATGCGTCATTGTCAGCAGCTATAATGTCTGAGAGTGGAAAGATTTCATTGAAATAATTTTGTTTATCCGTATGTTCTAATATTTCCACAATGAACAAAGTGTTATAGATACTACCTTCGACAGTTCAAAATGCTTAGACACATCACTTGGACGTTCTAAATCTTTTAACACTGTTCGTATAGATTTCGGCTCACACCCCACCCCCATTACAACTAATAAATCTATACATACATACATACCCCCAATTCTCCCAGGAGTTTTTTGGGGTACACTACTCCCTGCCAAATCTCCAGAGTGAAAAATAACTTCCCCAGTCTCTTCAATAAATGGTGCTGGGAAAACTGGACAGCCACACGCAAAAGAGTGAAAGTAGACCATTCCCTTACACCATGCACAAAAATCAACTCAAAATGGATCAGAGACTTGAAGGTAAGACCTGAAACCATGAAACTTCTAGAAGAAAATATAGGCAGTGCACTCTTCAACATCAGTCTTAGAAGCATCTTTTGGACACCATGTCTACTTAGGCAAGGGAAACAAAAGAAAAAATAAACAAATAGGACTACATCAGTCTAAAGAGTTTCTGCAAGGCAAAGGAAACCAGGAACAAAACAAAAAGACAATCCACCAACTGGGAGAATATATTTGCAAATCATATATCCGACAAGGAGTTAATCTCCAAATATATAAAGAACTCATTCAACTCAACAACAAAAAAACAAACAACTCAATCAAAAAAGGGGCAGGGGATATGAACAGATATTTTTCCAAAGAAGATATACAGATGGCCAACAGGCATGTGAAAGATGTTCAACATCACTAATTATTAAGGAAATGCAAGTTAAAATTACAATGAGATATCACCTTACACCTGTTAGAATGGCCATAATTACCAAGACAAAAAACAACAAACGTTAGGGAGAAAAGGGAGCCCTCATATACTGCTGGTGGGAATGGAAACTGGTGCAGCCAATATGGAAAACAATATGGAGATTTCTCAAAAGATTAAAAATAGAAATACCATATGACCCAGCCATCCCACTACTGAGTATTTAGCCAAAGAACTTGAGATCAACAATTCAGAGACTTATGCACCCCTATGCTCATTGCAGCATTATTCACCATAGCCAAGATGTGGAAGCAATCCAGGTGCCCATCAACAGATGAATGGATAAAGAAGATGTGGTATACATATACAATGGAATACTACTCAGCCATAAGGAAAGAAAAAATCATCCCATTCGCAACAACATGGATGGGCCTTGAGGGTATTATGTTAAGTGAAATAAGCCAGACAACGGAGAAAACAAACACCACATGATTTCACTCATATGTGGAAGATAAATAAACACATGGACAAAGAGATCAGATTAGTGGTTACCAGGGCGAAGGGGGTTAGGGGTGGGCATAAGTGATAAAGGGGCACATACATATGGTGACTGACAAATAATAATGTACAAGTGAAATTTCACAATGTTGTAAACCATTATGACCACATTAAAATAATAACAAAAAATAATAATAACCTTCCCATAGGTTTCATCTTTCCTTGGTAGGTAATAAAGTTTGGCTGCCTCAAACCCAGAATATTCTTGTAACATCGTTACACCCACTGACCTTCTAAATTCTCCTTCACAAATGTCCGAGGGATGAGAAGGGAGTTGTTGTTACTGTAATAATATCAGGAAACCAGCGACTGGATTTGTGACTGTGAGAAAGACAATGAGAAAGCACACCTCCCAATGTCCCACATTCCAGCCCCGCTAAACCATTCAGCATCATTAGCGGAAGGTATCAGGGCACTGAAGAGAGGAGGGGCAGGAAAGCCTAATTCAAATAGAGATTCAGAACATGTATGTGTTTGCCTGTGAAGCTCCCAATACGAGGAAGAGGCTGAGTTACAGATCACAGTGTATGGACCACCTGGAGGACACAGCCCCTCGTGTTCTCAGCAAAGATGGCAGAGGTGCCATCACCTTCCTCCTTCATTTCACCCACTCCTTTCTCGATCTCCCCTTCCCTTATTCTTTGCATCAAAGTTGTCCACTAAAAGGAACCAAGTGAGCCACAGAGTTCTAAATAGCTATCTTCAGAAGTTTTTGAAACAAGATGAAAGCCGTCAGAGAATGAAAACCAAATCCCAAATACGTAAGAAAAAGGCTTTAACACGTGGCGCAGTACGAACCGTCTGCTCCCCAGGTCCAGCCTCTCGCCAGCTAGTAGCAACCAGGCAGGACACTGGAGCAAGCAGGAAATCTAAAATTAGGTTTTACTACCTATAATGGAGGATTTATGGGATGGTTTAATTGGTAGTCTCAGGACTAAAACCTGAAGTGGGGGAACAAAAACATCTTTCTGGACATACCCGGTGAGCCCACATGCACTCCTTGAACCTCACCTACAGCCCGTGGAGGCGCAGGTCTGCAGGGGACAGGGCGAGGACGCAATTCTTCCTTCTTCTAACCTTGACGCGTGCCGGAGCCAAGAACACGGTAGTCCTTGGTTCTTTTATTTAAGAGGCAAAATGGTTTCTTATGGTGGAATAGGTCTTCAGACCACACACAGAAATCCAGGTGTTCTGAAGAACAAAAGAACCCTTTCGATTCAGTCCTCTCCTGAAATATCCCAAACCACAAGAACACACTCAAAAGGTCGAAAGAAGATTGGACTCAAACGTGAATATATTGGTCTGCACCGGTGTCTTGCTATTTTCAGTGCAGGCAAGATCATTTGAAAATTTTCCCAGTACCATTTTTGATGAATAGAAGGGATAGTCAAATTGGGTGTTTATGTAAAGTCCACATGTTCAGAGAGATTCTAAGTAAATATGAGAAAACAACAACAAATGATGGCTTGAGCAGTGTGTTGGCTGGTGGTGTGGGGCAGGGTCACAAACCCTCCATCGGTCCCCTGCTGGGGTGACTCACAGCCAAGTGCCCACAGAAACCTCCCACTGCCAAGGATGTGGAGAGCCGGGGTCTCCAGGGACCAGCTGAACCGCACACAGTCCCTTCTGCTCACCCTTTGCCCTTTCCGTCCCACCAGCTCAACAAATGTTAGTGGAGTTTTGGTCGTCTTCCCTGAAGGGTCTTTCTTTCCAACCCCACTCTCTCCCCTCTCCGGATGGCACCCCTGGATCCACCGTGGAGTCGGAGACGCCAGCCTGAGCTAAGGCCAAAGCAGACCGAGAGGAGTGAAAAAGCTGGGACGGTGACTGGCTTTCGGACTCCAGTGAAAACTGTGGCTCCACTGATGAGGGTGGCACTCGGTCTGGAAGCCAGCGCAGCAATATTCTTACTGAGGAGACGAATCCCTTATAAAGAAGCTTCCGTTTATTACAACACACTGCAAGAAGATGGGAAGACATCCTTGCTTTTAAAAATGGTATTTTCTGGGGCCGGCCCCATGGCCGAGTGGTTAAATTCATGCGCTCCGCTTCGGCGGCCCAGGGTTTCACTGGTTCGGATCCTGGGCGCGGACCTAGCACCATTCATCAGACTATGCCGAGGTGGCATCCCACATAGCACAACCAGAATATACAACTATGTACCATGGGGCTTTGGGGAGAAGAAGAAGGAAAAAAAAAAAAGAAGATTGGCAACAGATGTTAGCTCAGGTGCCAATCTTTTAAAAAGAAAAATGATATTTTCTTAAAGAGGATTTTCAAGTTTCCAAGGATAAAAGCACTTTCCCTAGGTCCCACGGGTAGGCTGTGGTTTCTGAGCGCACCGGAGCCTTCTCAGACACTGACCACAGGAGCCTGAGTCTGCAGAAGCCCCGTGTAAGGAGATCAGCTTATAACTCAGGCATTTTCTACCTGAGCAGTTGGCAGTCCAGTGAAATTTGGTCCAACTGGGGTCCTCCTCAGATTCTTTGAACGTGGTCGAAGGAAGAGACAACTTTTCCTGAATTCTAGGCTCTGGTGACAAGGTTATCACAATATTTATAGAATTATTGTAAATATTGTAATATATGTATGTATATAATATCTGTATGTGTATAATACATGTAATATAATAATATATAGTAATAGATTATATGTATATATGTACACACATATATACACATATATATGTAATAGATGTTACAGCTTACATCTATTAAAAAATTTGTGGGGAAAATACGCCATGCAAAATTCATATTAAATAAAATGGAGCCAAGCAATGAAACAACTCTGAAATGGCCTAAGAAACTAAAAGGTATTTGACATTTACTTTTTTCGGGTACACGCACGGACTTCATGTCATCATTGACCCTGGTTGCTTAAGATCATCAATGTTTTCTCAATTCCTGGACTGTTTTATAGTCAACAGACCCAATTATTAAGTTCAAAGGGAATACCCTAAAAAAGGCAGAGCAGAATCAGTCAGTGTCAGCAAGACCTGCAGAAGAACAAATAGATAGCTTGTAATATAAAGAAATTTAATATAAATAACTTTACAGGCACACCTCGTGGTGTGTCATCTAATCTGACACTATTACCAAAAAAAAAAAAAAGAAATGACAATGTGATTTCACTACTATGGCATCCACTGCCAGAGCAGTCATAGTTTAAGAGGTATTTTTAGTGATTTTTAAGGGCGAGCACTCGTAAATTTCCAAATCTGTGCTCCATGTGACCATGACATAGCAGTTGGTCAATTCTCCTGCTTGGTTTCCAAAATTCTGACCGTGGGTCACCACTGACACAAACTAACGTCTATCTGTAAGAAATGAGAAAGAGGCAATTGGAAAGGAGAAAAAGAGGGGACAGATTGAGCAGAGAGGGTTCCCACAGCAAACTGTTCCTTGCTTGGAGTCAAGCAACTCTTAGAACGCAGACAGCAAAGACAAAAAGAATCCGGTGAAAATGCACCTTTTGCGTCCTCAATACACGGCACAGACGGCGACAGGGAGGGGCAGAAGATGCAGCTAAGGCTGTGCCTCACAGCTCAGAGATGCTCAGGGCTGGATACCGACTTGGATCTCCTACCTCAGATGGAAGCAAATTTCCTTGTGATGTTCCAGAAAGAAGCGTACCGCCAGAAATTATCATAACACTTCCTACACCGGGAGCTGGAGGTAAGCATTAAGAAAGAACTTAATCTTTGTGCCTTCTGCACTCATGGTAACATTATTTGCCATTGATTTTTCCTAGGAGATAATGAACTCTGTGATACCGTCACTGACTTTATGAACCAGAGGATGTGTTAGGACTGATGATGACAAGGAGAAACTAGAAAACAACATTAGATTCTTACCAAACCACTCTGATTTCACAGCACACACTTCTCTCCCTTCCTAAAAATCTGGGTTTTCCCAGTTTTCAGGATCTCTGGGTCTCTTCTAGTAACTGCGTTAGAGCCGATCCTGTCAGCTACGGGGCGTGGGCGGGTTATCCAGACTCTGCCTCACAGAACACTCACCCTCCGTCTCTGAGTCAGTTGCCTTTTAATGGAAATACTATTCAATGATCATTTTCATAAAAATTTGTGCTGGCGCGGTTTTGTTTCTCTTGACACAGGCCCAAATGTTTTTCTCTTCTGATTGATTTTTGGTTTAAACTCCGCATGTCTCTTTTGGTTGTTTATTTTTTAATATATTTCCATTTTTACTGGAGGGGAAACATTAGAGTCAATGTGATCCAGCTGCACCGAATCGGCCACGCGACCTGCAGTTTTACATCTAAGACGATGGAGCAAAGTCTGCCTGCAGAAGCCTGAGCTGCTCCTGCCCAGGGGCTTGCTTTTGCAACTTGGGCGTTTCTGCAGACCGTCTTGTCTAGTAACCCTAAGTCTGATAAGAATGTGGTCAGTGATTTTCCACGTTTCATGGAGCCCTTTCACAAACACAAAGGGGGCTATCAATTGCCAGTTGCTTTTACCACCATCAGTTTTCAGCCCACACTCTGTAAAACTGGCCGAACAGAATTCCCCAACGTAATGTCCTGACTTTTTTTATTACGTCCTCCTCTCTTTCAGTCCTTTCTAAGATCATGTACCAGCATCCACCATCTTTTCCCTTAAACAGAATCTTTTTGGAAGTTAAGTATCTGCATTGTGTATTTAAGCCATGCGTTCCTAAGGAGGCTAAAATCGGTTCTTGGAGGGTGAAAAAGAGTCTGCTCTCTTTATGTATAAAGCACAGATAGACCTAAATGTAGATATACATACATATGTGTAATGTAAAATTCCTCAAGAGACATACAGGACATCTGTGGTATTAAATTTTCATATGGGAGAGGGTTGATTAAAGAAGAAATGTCTGAAGAGGATTGGTCATGAAAAAAAGGTTGAAAAACATTAATTTAAGCCTAAGAGTGACTGCACCACAAATTATTGTTGCTTCTTGATGTGTTTCGCACCCATGCCTCAATCACATACAGATACTAAGTCTGCATTTATTCCAGTCTGTTGACGATGTGCCCACAACTATTTCCACTGGAAACTGAAGAGTTGTCTACCTTTATAAACTCTCTATCCAACAACTCACATAAGTTACCTCTTGTTTGAGAACCCAGCAGGTGTCGAGCACAAGAAACAAAACCAAAGAGATACCAAAAGATAAAAAAGGAAAGCAAAAGGAGCTAATACTCCAACGCAAATGAAGCAGACGATCGTACGTATTCTCAGGAAACAGCAACCTTGTCTTCAAATGTCTGTGAACTAAAGATTTCTCAGGACAGCTTTCCACTACACACGAAGGATTCAGCGTAGCAATCTTTGCTTGCCTTAGTGGATTACAAACCTTGCTTATTCCAAAAAAGAAGCATGTATTTAACTTTCTCAAATATATGATATGCAACTCTTATTTTCACTTGCTGGGAGAAAAGACTAAAAAATAGTGTTTCACCTTGCTTCTTTTGCCAGTGCAAACCTGACTAATTCTTACCCTCATTGCCACTTCTTCTTTAATCTTCCCTAATCTAGGTTGCGCGATAACACATTCCCAACCTTTTGGAGAGGTGGCCTGTATTTCCAACACAGCTATGCATGACCTGCATGTTTTCCTGACCTGTGCTGGCCATGCCCTAGCCAGAGAAAGGAATGGACTGGCTTTACTCATAGTCTCAGAGGTTACATACTCCAGCATCACAGACTATAGAAATAACTTTGTGATGACCTCAAGGGGTAATTTATGGAGCACGGACGGTACGTGGAGTATGTTTTCTGTCCTCAGAATCCTAGACCAGGACAGATTTATGAATAATTTTCAAAAATCAGGAAGTCTGCGAAAATCCCCACTGTCTTATAAAGATTGCATGATGCTCCTCGCATCTCCCAAGGCCTCAGCCTCCCTCCCGTCCGCAGAGGTCCCTGGACCCGACTCCCAATGGCCAGGGCCAAAGAACGCAGGCACCTGCCCCTCAGCAAATCCACTCCCATTCCCCCTCATTCCCAGACACAAATTTCCATGAAAACCAGACACAGCACAGAAAACAGGGGCAGGGGATTCCAAAATCGCTTCAGATCTGCAGCCTGATTTCATTAGACTCGCTGGCTTGTTTCTTCCAGCCCCTGTGCGTGTCCACGGCAGGAGAAACATCGCTGACACTGGCATTTTAAAGCCATGAGGTCCATACACTTAAGGATGCAAGGCCAGTGCGAGAAGGACAGGGGACACTGCTGCAGAGACGGAGAGGGGTAAATTTAGAGATGACGAGGAAGAGGGAAACGCTTAGGTTCCGTTACGAGGCGACTCTACTGGGTGTTACTTGTCAAGCGGCTGAATCCACCCACACACCCCAACAGCGTATGAAAGTTGTTCAGCCCGAAGGGAAAGAGACCCTCCACGGCTGTCATTACTAATCCAAGTTTAACTAAATTTAACAGTTTCCAAGAGCACGTTTTGGCCATTTCAGACATGCAAGCACCCACCTGAGAATTTGGGGCTGCAGCAGACAGCCCTGTCCGGTTTCTGTCACCTTCATTCTGCCACAGCGGAGAGCTGCACCCCTGAGCTGACAACCCTGCATTTACCAGTTCATCTCCAAGGTCTTCCTTGATGCTGCGGCAAATGGTAAGAACCAAGTACAGAAGCAACTCAACTGGACATTAACCTTCCCGTACAAGTCACACAGCCAGCCTGAGGATCTGGTTGCCAGCGATGACACGGTTTTTCCTCCAAGATTTTAAGCACATGTGGCTTCCATCAATGTGGGCTCAGATTCGTTCTGTGTTTAGACCACTTGCCTCGCACGTTCTCATATTTACACATATTCACCGAACGTAACCCCAAGTGAATTATTTAAGAAGTCTTAACGTGCTTCAGACTTCTCAAATATAATTTAGACTTTAAATTAAATTTGTACTCCCGTGGGAAACTGGTAGGTTGAATGCAGCGTACAGCACGGAACGGATGTTCAGTAGGCCTTAGAACAGAATTTCAGTTCCCTGGGAAAGGATCTCACCTGGTGGCCAATGCTCCATTTTAGACGAAAGAGGACCCTGCTAGAAAATTCACCTTCTTGCCTATGTTTGAAAGAAGTGGAGCCCACTATACACAAGACAGATATTCCTGCTTTTCCATTTGTCCCTGGATAGACTGACAATGAGGCAACCCCAAATCAGATATCTATAATGGTACAGACTAGGACACACAGCCCTGTTCATTAGTTTTGTTTTGGGTTTTGTGTGTGGGGTTTTTTGGTGGTTTTTTTTTTTTTTTTTTTTTTTTTTTGCTGAGGAAGACTGGCGCTGAGATAACATCCATGCCATCATTCTCCATTTCATATGTAGGATGCCTGCCACAGCATGGCGTGATAAGGGGTACATAGGTCCGAACCCAGGATCCAAACCCGCAAACCCCGGGCCACCAAAATCGAGGGCACGAATTTAACCACTATACCACTGGACCATTCCCCCGTTCGCTAGTTTTGAGGTTTGGGTTTTTTTTAAATAATCACGATATTCTTTGTCCCTTGATGTCTGATTGTCAAAAACTGCACTGAATTAGCAGTTAAATATGATTCGGCAATTAGACTTGAGAGAAGCCACGCATATTTTTTGTAACACAGTTTTGTTTTGTTTAGGTTTTTTTACAGTAGGCCCTGCCCACCAGGGAAAATAAACCAGAACAAGGAGAACGAAATTCCCTTCCCACACACGAGTGATAATGAAAACAAACTATCTACAAGGAAGCTCAGACAAGGAGTGTGCTACAGACCAGGCATCAACTGAAAACAAATTTCTTATTCAGGAAAATGTGAGTAAGAATCTGCAGTGAGTAAATTTTGCACTTTGCATAAAAACGAAATTAAATCTTAACTCCAAAACACGCACACGATGAAAGAGGTAAGTCATTCAGGGACACTTGACACACAGTACGTTGATAAGAAGTGGCACACAACCAATGCGACTGACTTGGTAAGACTTCGCCGTGAACTTCAGTGTTACATAAAGTGGGCGAGGCCCGTGTGGGATGCAGTGCGCCATTACCAAATTGTGTGATGACCACGTGCCCTTCGAAGTCAATTCTGTAGTGATCTATCTGACTGAACCTTTTTTCTCCGGGATGCTAGCGCCTCAAGTATGCTCTTCTTCCAACCTAGGTGCCCATCAAAGGACGAATGCATAAAGAAGACGTGGTACTTATACACAATGGAATACTACTCAGCCATAAGGAACGATGAAGTCCGGCCATTTGTGACAACGTGGATGGACCTTGAGGGTATTATGCTGAGTGAAATAAGTCAGAGGGAGAAAGTCAAATACCATATGATCTCACTCATAAGCAGAAGATAAAAACGATGACAAACAAACACATAGCAACAGAGACTGGATTGGCGGTTACCATAGGGGAAGGGGGGAGGGGGGAGGGCAAAAGGGGTGCCCAGGCTCAAATGCCAGGGGACGGACTATAATTCGTTTTTGGGTGGTGAACATGATGTAATCTACACAGAATTCGAAATATATTATGATGGACATCCAAAAGCTATATAATGTTATAACCCAACGTTACTGCAATTAAAAATAAATAAATAAAATTGAAAAATAAAAAAGAATGCTCTTCTTCAAAATGATCAATTGCATTCTTCTCAAGAAACTGTCCACATGCAAAAGCAGAAATTTGTCATCATGCCAGGATTATCTTTAAATAGGGAAAACTCAAATAAGGTTTTCAGGCATGAAGTTGTCAGAGCATGATTCCGACAAGGCGGCACTATTTGTTCCCAGGTTTACAAAGGTTGGGTCTGCAAGGAGATACTTCATTTCGCACTTTAAAAGCAGGAAATGAGTCAACAGGAAATTATATATACATTTTCCCACCAATTTGAAAGCTGCAAACTTAGTACTGAATATGTCATGCTAGCAATCCATTTTTTATTGCTATCATGTCTGGACTCAGTGATATTTTGGGGGTGACACTGCCAATGGAGACACAAAGTCATAAAAATTCTATTTCTGTGATCAAATCATATAACGGGGTTCATCGTTACTAATTATATTAAACATGAAATTCCTATGCTCAACACTGTAGGCCTGCACTGTCCAATACAGTGGCCACCGGCCACATGCGGCTCCTGAGCACCTGCGATGTGGGCAGTCCAGAACAAGATGTGCCGCATGCGTAAACTACACATTGGATTTCGAAGATTTAATATAGGAAAAAATAATGTGAAACATCTCATCAATATTTTTGTATTGGTTACATTTGAAATGATAATATTTTGGACATGTTGTATTACATAAAACAGATTATTAAAATTAATTTCACCTGTTTCTCAATGCGGTTACCAGAAAACATAAAAGTATACATGAGACTCACATTCTATTTCTTTTACCCAGGGCTGCCTGACCTTCCAGTGACTCTGCCTCTGTGTCATCCTGCCCCCTTCTTGTCACCTCTATAAGTGGACCCTCGCTCTTACCAGGAGAGCTCCAGCCAGCAGGCTCACACACGGATCCCAGAGTCAGCCGCCTGGGTTCTGATTCTGCTCTGGCTCTCACCGTGTGACTCTGGGCACGTCGCTTAGCACTCCCGAGCCTCACTCTGTTATTCTGGAAAATGGGGGCAATAAGGGCACCATCCCTCCCAGAGCCGTGGTGAGGATGACCTGTGGCCCCACAAGACCCATGTCTGCACCGTCTGGTGAAGTCGATGTCAGTCACCATCCTCCAAACATCACATTCTCCCTTGCCTTCTGCAAGATGCCTTACTCCTGACCTTTTAACTTTGCACTTGAGTTACTGAAATAGGTGTCTAGATGGGTCCCTCCAGAACCCGGGAGGGTCGGGCAGTTCCCACACTGTGCGACCCAGCTCCCCGGTAACACATCCCACACTCCTAACAGCAGCAGTGCCTGACTCCCCCACTCCCCTGCCCATGGCTGCTCCCCCACCCCCATCCTTGCCTATCTTGAGCCAACGCACGTCACGGCTCGCCTCCAGTGCCTCATCTTTCGTCCTTCGGGAAGCATTTTCTGATCCTTCCTGTGGCATGGTTTAGCTCACTTTTTGATTGCATGATTCTTATGAGATGGACTGTTTTATTTATACTGTACTTTGTTCCAAAAAAGGATTTAAAGTGATCTACAAGGATATATGCAATATAACAAGGCTTTTTAAAATTCAGAAGTAGATGCAAAATAAATAATAAAGATGAGACTAAAGAGAAACTAGGGTAAGAACATAAACTGGAGCTAAGAGTGCAGGGGCCCATTAGACATGCCATGGGGTCTCACTACGTGCTGGAGCAAGGGCACACACCGGCCTCCGTGTGATGACATACAACTCAGAAAACTGCTCCTGATGCGGAGACTAAAAATGAAGTTTCCCCATGAGCTGGTAAGAGAGAAGGGCCTGTGTGAAAAGATACAAGCTTGCCCAAAAGCAGCCTACAGCAAGGCCAGCGTGTTGCATGGTGGCGGTCTCTGTCATGGCCTCCAACGTAGTACATCAGAGCAGTTGACAGAGACGGCCCATAGGGGCAACACCTCCGTCACTGTGCAGTCTAGGCCCTGGCTCACTGGCACACTGGCCTAATTTGAGCAGGTGGCACTGCTGAATATGCCACTTTTTTGGGCCTATGTACTTATCCCCTTTCTAGATTCCATGAAATATACATTCACCCCTTTTCTAGACTCTAGGGTATATACATTCATCCCTCTTCTAGATTCTACTGCATATGCATTCAACCTCTTTCTAGATTCCATGACATATGTATTCTCCCCCTTTCTAGATTCCATGGCATATGCATTCACCCTCTTTCTAGATTCCATGGCCTATACATTCACCCCTTTTCTAGATTCTAGGGCATATACATTCACTCCCTTTCTAGATTCCATGGCATGTGCACTCACTCCCTTTCTAGATTTCCACTCCCTGAAGGCATGACCAAGGGCTTCATACAGTGTCTCGCATGGTGTCTTGCACCAAACATAGACAGAAAGGGCAGCTTGCCAGTCCTCGATATAGTTTGCACCTCCAATCTCTCTCCAGTGCACCCGCCTTCCTGTGACTCAGAATGCCTCTCCTCTCCTGGAGCCCTGAAACTTCACAACCTGGGTCAAATCTGACCGTAGACTAGTCTCTGCCTAGCAAGCATTCCCTGCATTCTCAGGCATCCCACTAGCCCTGCATTAATTTCCCCCTGTAGATATTTATCCCAAGGACACTGCATTCAAAGAGGATGCTATTAGCTGGCTGGAGTGAAAAGGGCTGTAATTTTGTTTACAAGTTGTCAGTACAACTAGTTGGAAGAGAAGGAGTCAGACAGGCCACTAATTGCCGCAGTCACACAGGTGGATAGGCAAACTCCACAACGGAATGTTCTGGCTTTTTCCATTAAATTTGCAGTTGTTTTTCTAATCTCTCTGTGTCTAGTGTCTTACCAGTCCCTAATGAATCCATGTTCTCCATCTCTCCTTTAGGACAGTGTTCTCATTTAATAGCTGATCAATAAATTTCGATTGAGAAACGTGTTCCCAGTTTGCTTAAAATTAACGAAGAAAATTTTACATGACAATGCTTAAGTTTTGCAAAGAATAAATTCATATTGACGCTAAATGTAGTTACAAAGGCGCTCTCAATATGAACACAAATTTCACCCCTTGTCTGCCTCCTGGTAGTTTACTGTGGGTTCTAAGCACGTATGGGGTAATCTTCTTGCCTCGGGTTTCACAATTTGGGTATGGAGTACTTAGGAGAAATTGTCCTTGTGGGACGTTCAGTTTAATCACTTACATTTACAAGCCTGAGAAAACTGCAAAAATAAATCAAATGTCATCATGAGCTATACCACTTCAGAACTGGTACTATTTCAACGTCCTCTCACTTCATACCTCAAGCAGCAGCCCACCATCACTTTCTCTGCTTCAGTGGCAGGGGTTTCAGAACTTGGAGCGTTAAATACTGGTAATACGCTGACCTAACATCCCTTCTGCAGGAAAAAGAACTCTCACTATTCCCTGGATTTTATCTTTATTGTCATTAATTCTATTTTAGAACTATGTAGTGAAGTCAATTTTACTCTCAAGGTCAAACAGACTAGAAAGTACTTTTCGATACTGAAGAAGCAAATTTTTCCTCCACTTTTGCTTATTCCGTCATCTTGCTGCTGTATCTTGAGCTGCAAAAAGAGCGAGCCTTGCACAAGGCACGCTGAGGTTTTGTGCAGTTACAGACCCAGGTTTGTAAATCTGGCAGCAGGCTCCCTTCAGCTTTGTGAGGTTGGATAGAGTTTTAATGAGAATCCATTCAAAGCAGGAGATCTTCTTAGAACGTGCCTAAGCCAGCGGTTGGTTTCTTGTCTAAATGTTTTTACTTCGTTTCCCAATAAAAGAAATCTCAGCTTTCTGATACATTTAATTTAAGAGTTTTATGTTGAGATCGTAAGTGTTTCCAAACATTTCATTTTACTAGCACAGACTTCGCTGATCATTTTACTCAGCTTAGATCGATGGATGTCCCATGTAAGAATCCTGAAATCTACCTTTCTTCGCTCCTGGGGTCCAAAGGTTTGCCTTCCTATGTGGTGCTGTAGGGACCCCTCCCTCTCCCACCAGCCTCCTCGTAACAGCTTCTTTCAGTCTCTTCTCAGAAGCCTGAGATCCTCGTCCAGTCCAGCTTCAAGCAGAATTCCAAGCACCACATAGAGGAAGGAACAGCACTTTTCCCACTGCCAATTTCAATTAATTTATTATATTAAGACAGCGGGTGGTTAACCAACATAGCAAGACTTTGGGTTTCTCCTATTGTTCCAAAGAGCACAAAGCCTGATGCCCATCTTAGTTCAGACAGAAAGGTGAACACCACCAGCTAATTCATTTCCACGATGCAGCGTATGACTGCACACAAACTCATGCTTTCCCAAGGTGGTCACCCAAACAGCCCAGCCAGGAGCCACAAAAATGCCCACACTCCGGTTCAGTCTTTCTTTTACTTTGCGACTTTAGCTGTGCTAGTAAGCTCCACCATTTCCACGCCATCACAGAGAACACGAATCTGCCCTCCAAAAACAGGGAATCACTTAAGGAATATGACACATCACCACACAAGGTGATGCATGTGTAACACACACCACACAATGGCAATCACCACACAAGGCACAGGTCCTTTGCTCCTCTGCACTCAAACTGAGGTACAAACACAC